CTACACGTATTTTCCCCCCTGCCAGTCTTCCATGTCTGATGCTTCAAAAGACAAGGGTGGAAATTAGAGGTTTTCTTAGATGATTGGGGTGGGGTGAGGTGCTTCTAGAGCATGAGATTGTCACCTCTGCAGACCTGCAAATGTTAAGTGTTCAGGTTTAGCATGGGAGGGCAATAATACATGCAGAGCTGCCAGTTGTATTCCGGTTTCCTAACTGGCATTTCAGCTGGGAACTTGATTAAATAAGCCACTATTAAATTATTCTGATAACCGCTGTCACCTTCACTGACTTGTTCAATATGTCATCTCATACTTCTGAAGAACAGCAGTTATTTTGGTATTCAGGGGATGGGAAATTTTTACTTACTGGGTTCTTTTGGATTGGACAAGGAACATCATCTGGAAGAACCAAACCTTGAGAGTTGAGTCACCTGAGATGTGCTGTACCACTCAAGAACCTCTTATTGTCATTGTCGACAAAACAGTGTCTGTTGTACTAGAACGGGGTGACTTGTAACAAAAGCTCTTTAAAAAATGGCAGACCTTGGTGGTGTTGGTAGAATTAGCAAAATCTTAGATAACTGTTAGCTTAGTGATAGTCCAGTCAGATGTTCTCATCCTAGATGGATTGATTGGTACATACAAAGTCTTGCGGCAAATCCTTACAGTAGAGTTGGGTATTTTTAAGTCATTCCCCACCCCACTCTTAAATTCCCTCACTGTCAGCATCAAAAAGAAATCGAAATCCAAGGGATGCAAGAGGTGTCAAATCAGTCTGAAACTTAATTCCTTTTATCCAGTCAGTGAATGTGAAATTGCAAAACCATAGTAACCAAAAGACTTTGTTTTGTATTTAACTTCAGTGGGGGAATCAAGGTTTGTTTGTGCCTCACTGGTTACAGATAGGTGTCAGCAGGAGATTCTTCTGGTGGTCCTACAAAACATTCTCTCCCAGATTTTTAGATTTAGGATTTGCTATTAAATCAATTGCCACAGTCACAGTTAATTTAAAGCAACTTTGGTCTGTTTGCCAGATTTTGGTCTTTATAATTAATAGTAAACTCATTGCAATAAGTGAGTCTCTACACACATGGGTTTACTCTCAGTAAGTATATATGTGTTTTATATATTCCACGTTTTCACCTGTAGGCTTCACTGCATTGATCTAGTTCTGTAAGTATTGCAATACTCTGTGTCAGAGCTCATGGGCTTTCAGAACTGGCTCAGTTCAGTGACTTGAGTTAGCTGGACTCAGGGAATGTATTCACTACCCCGGAGGGCAAAATGTGCCACACAGATATGGGGAGTGTGAGATGGTTAAAGCTTTTTAGACAGTTTTGAGCTGCAGCAAATAAGTCTTGGGACGGTTTTAAATTGCATGTGCAAATACAGGTACTTGTTGTTTTGTAGCCTGTGTAATATCCCTGCCAGTCCTGACTTTATACAGCTGCTAGTGAAAAACGCATTCTCAGTGTATTCTTATCATTCATTTTTCCAAGGAATCAATGGGGTGGTGGCTTCGGTGTTGTAATATTAGGGCAGTTTCACATGCTATATTTCCCAGGTACAAATAAGCATTTGGCAGACTTGTGAAGAAACCAGGTGTCATGGTTTAAATTCAGCTAGCAATAAAATAGCATGCAGCAGCTTGTCATAAAATTGAGATAAGAACTGTT